GCTACACCCATGAAAGTCTCAGCATGGCTGTCTAAATAAGACTTGAACAAAAATAACACCAACAGACATGCTAACATGGAAGGGGGAAATCTCACCAGGGCCCAAACCCTAAACAAAGAACTGTAGACAAATTAGGAATGCTGAGAGTAGAAGAAATAGACTTCCCCAAGGAAGAGCACATCAATTGGTTATCCAAGTGGTCAACCCTGAAATCATATACATACAAGTAATATTACACAGACTGAGCAGGTTTTATTTCTATAATTAGGACAACAATTAAGAAAAAGGCCATAGGGCTGGAGATGTGGTTCAGCGGCTAAGAGCATTGGTTGCTCTTGTAGAGGACCCAGGTTCAGTTCCCAGCACCTGCATGGCAGCTCACAAACATCTGTAAAATCCAGCTGCAGTGAACCCACAGTCCTCTTCTGGCCCCTGTGGGCTTGCAAGCATGTGGTGCACACAAACTCACAAAGGTTCACATATATATAGTAAATAAATATGTATTTCATAGGTGTAGGGGAGCTGTTTCTGCCCCCTCTCCTGAGGCAGGTGGCCCTAGCAACCCAGACTGATCAGCTCAGCTATCACTCAGGCCCACAGCAGGGTCTTGGATTGGTCCACCATCTACCCTGTCTATGACCTGCTGGAGTTCCTAAAGGGACTGGTCCTGTGGAACATACCTGCAGGATTTCCATGACTCGGGAAGGCCACAGGATGTTCCAGAGGAGTTTCAGTGAGGACCCGGTGATGAGGGTGGACCAGACTCTGACTCATTGCTTATTTGCTAGTAAAGTTGATTGGACAGAAGGGTGGGCTATATGACACACCACAGCTCCCAATGCCACCAGGAAGAATGAAGAAGGTGTTGGAGAGGCAGGACAGAAGGAGAAGCAAAGAGGATTTGTGGGGAGGGAGTTCGTTTGTTTTGTTCTTGTGCTTGTTTGTTTGCTTACTTTATTTTGATTTTTTAAATTTTCTTTTGTGAGGAGCTCTGCGGGGGTGAGGAGAAGATATGGGGGGATTGAGAGGTGAACAGAATTAGGGTGCATGATGGGAAATTCCCAAAGAGTCAATAAAGAAATTGTGTTAAAGAAAAAAAGGCCATGAATTTGGAAGAGAGGAGGCCATACCTGGGAGTGTTTGGAGAGAGAAAAGGTAGAAAAAGAGAATTGACTCTCAAAAGTTGTCCTCTGGCTCCACATAGGCACACACCTGCACACACACACACTCTCTCTCTCTCTCTCTCTCTCTCTCTCTCTCTCTCTCTCTCTCTCTCTCTCTCTCTCTCTCACACACACACACACACACACACACACACACACACACACACACGTAACATTAAATGTGTTTTCAAAGTTTGCCACAATTCACCTTTCTCCTGCTCTCCCAGTTGTCTCTCTCAAGCAGCTGCTTCTGCCAGGCACGTAAAGAGGCCCAGGCTTCCCTGGGATACCCACCCCCTTTTGCTTTCAGCCTGCCTGCAGCCTTTCACAGCCTTCCCTTCAGAGTCAGGACAGTTCAAAGCAAATCTCCACAAATGTCAACTACAAGAAAACACTCTCTAGTATTCTTAGCTCTCTGTCTATATTACCACCCTGCATTCTGTTGCCTGTTAAAATCTCCTGTCTCCTGCTGAATTCCAAGTCTTAAATGCCTGGGGCTGGGTTTTATTGGTCCTTATCCTGCTTGCAGCCCCAGGAAACTAAGTTTCTATGGGTCCTGCTGGGTATAACCTGGTAATTTCCAAGCACACTCCATCCCATATGCACTTGAGGCAGCAGCCTCCTGCAGGACTTAGGGCCCACCTGCCGCCAGATTCCAGGGAATGAGAGCAGGCTGCAAGCGCTTACACAAGAGTTTAGTTTGTTGTCATGGGTTGTCCATTTGTTGAAATGCTGACTCCTAAGTTAGCATTTTAAAACAGTGTCTTTACCAAGGTAATCAGGCATATGCTAATGCAATTTGAACACAAAGATATACATTTATAGGGAACATACTAGTTCAGACACAGTCATCTAGAATCCTGAATCATCTTTTCTTTCAACCTTGTCGAAAGTTTGATTTTTAATCTCAACCTTCCAGAGCCACAAGACATTTCTGTTGTTCTGTGCCTCCCAGGTTAGATTGTATTTTGCTTTTGTCTTTTGTTTTGTGAGACCAGATCTTGCTATATAGTCCCCACATCATTCCCCTGGTCCAGCCTCCCTGGTAGCTAGGGCTATGGATAAGACTACCTGCCTACCTTGTGATCCTTTCTGGAAGCAACTAATGCTGAAACCTGAGAAACGTGAGTGCCTCGAAGGAAGGCCCATTTCAAACCAGAGGCAAAACCCTCTTAGATTCCCTGGCCAGGAGGATAGGAACCACAGCCAGGCTGCCAAGAGCCAACAGCTAGGCAGAGTGGCTGGTCAGCCATGTGGTGTTGAGCAGGAGTTAGCCCACTTGAGACTGAAACATCTCCAGAGAGTTTAGCTCTGCGTGTGGAAGGCATCGGTGACAAGGCTGCAGGCAGCCCTTCTGTAGAACAGGCCCAGACTCTAAAGAGATGCAAGGAAGCCGCTTTCTCCTTTGTCCAAAGGAAACAACTAAGGGAAGGAGAGTTCAGTTCCTTGGGAAGCTCTGCTTTCGGGCTAATAAGGGTTTTAGGGGCTCAGAAGTTCAGTTCAGAATGATCATCAGACCATGCCCTGATGCAGCATCCTAGTCCTTGGTACAGCCCAATGAGTGATGCTACTCTCTACAGAGACAACAGACCTTCAGAAGTTAAGACACTTACCTGAGGCCCTGCAGACACAAGCAGAGAAAAGTTGGTGGGGCTCGAGGCGGCTTTTCAGTGAAAAGCACTTATGGCTACATCAGAGACCTGGGGTTTGAATCTCAGCATCCACAGCAGGTGTCTCACAGATGCCTGTGACTCCAGCTCCACTGTATCCAGTATCCCCTTCTGGCCTTAGTGGGCACCTGTGCATGCGTGCGCATGCACACCCATGAGTAAAAGTAAATCTTTTTAATTGGGGACAGGGAACTGGAGAGGTAGTCTAGTGTTTAAGAGTACTGGCTGCTCTCTCGGGGGCCTTAGCACCCAAACGATGGCTCACAAACCATCTCTAACTTCAGTATGAGGGAATCTGATTCTCTTGTCTGACCTCCTTAGGCACCAGGTATGCACACAGTGCACAGACATACAAGCGAGTAAAACATTCACACGCATAAATGAAAAACAATTTTTATTTATCTATTTTTATTTTATGTGCTTTTATTTATTATGTTTATTTACTATGTGCCTTTATTCTTATGTGTATGAGTTTTTCAAGCTCTTATGTCTGTGAGCCACATTTGTCACATTACCCAAGGAGACCAGACCAGAAAAGGGCATCAGATTTCCTCAAATTGAGTTACAGGCATTTGTTACCATCTTGTGGGTGCTGGGATTTGAACTGCCATTTGTTGAAAGAGCAGCCAGACCCTGCATTTAAAAAGAAAACGAAAAAAAGTCAACACACACATGGGTAACAAGCATGAGGCCAGGCCTATTGTTCCAAAGTTTCCATGGGCCTTGGCTGGCCCTTGAGCTCTGTGGTCTGGTAATCAGAGGTGTAAAGGTTTCTAGATGATCAGAGCCTTGGCCTTTGTGATGGTTGCCAAAAACCACATTTTCTATTTTTGGAACAATGCCACCAAGGGACTCCGCCTCCCTCCCCGCCTTAGTGAGAAGGTGTGTATGCTGTTGCTGGCAGGTTCTGTGAAGGCAAGCATCAGAGGAAGAAGGAGTTCTTACCCTAGCTAGCCTCTTTTTCCCTCTGATACACTCTGACATACACCTTCACACTGTCCTTATCTTACTCTTCCTATCTCTGGCCCCCTCATTGGCCAAAGGTAACCACACATCTGTCATTTACTATACAGGAGCTATCCAATAATCACACCGAAAGAGCTTAGCTAGGCAGGGTGGCATAAGTGCATGTCTGTAAACCCAGCATTTAGGTGAAGACAGGAAGATCAGACGAGTTTAAAGACATCCTCAGTTGTGTGGCTGAGTTCCCAGGCTAGCCTGGGTTACAGAGAGACTGTCTCAAAATAAAATAAAACAAAATAAAATAAGATAAGATAAAATAAAATAAAACTTTGCCTTGGTTCTGAACTTACTTCCTCCTGGCAGTGGACAAGCTGTTTCTTTTCTGAGGAGTGTAAAAGAGAATGAGAGATTTTTGTTATGATGACAGAAAGACACGCTCTTCTGACACCAGATTTGGCGGCAAAGCCCTTCCCTCTAGGGTACATACCATCTGGGATAGTCCCTAGAAGGTAGACATCTACGTTAATTTGAATGATGCTGTGCAGGAATGCAGGTGAGCAAAAGGTCATTTCCATTAGGTAGAAATGTTTTTTCCACTTCCTGTTTCTGGTCGGTTTTGCAGTGTTCAGGTGTGAAACCACCGAGTTTCGAAGCAGATGAAAACTTATCAAAGGCCTGCCCCCATGCTTTGTAAACTCAGACAGGTCTCCTGATGCCGATCGAAGGGCAGGCATTTCTTGGCAGGAAGAAAGCTTGCTTGAAAACACCACTCACCGCCCTGAATCAATCTAAATATTGAGCCTGAGTGATTTCCCGATGGCGACTTAACCAAAATGGGAAAACATTTTTCCGTCGCAACTCGCTGGTACTGACTGGCGTTTCCTCTTCATCTGGTCCTTGTGAGGCAGCAAGGGCGGACAGCCACTGCAGCCTAGCAGAGATCACAAGCTCTGAGAAACAGGAGATGGGTGGGGTGCTGTGTTGCCATGCAACCAAGGCAACACAGCTGCAGATGTCTGCCAGCTGGGCCAGCCCGTTCAAACCGCAGTGAGTTTCAAGTGGCTGTGTCCCCTAGGGACTGGGCCTAGCTCTAACAGGGGAAATGTCAGCATGTAAACGGACTCGATGACGCAGAGGAAGCCAAGAGGACGGTGTCAATGTCTAGTCATCGTTGACTCTCAGTCAGAATGTTTGAGCAGGAAAGAACTGTCTAGAGCTAATCAGACACCCCACACATCCCCCGCCCCACCCCCACCCATCACCCCACCTGCCTGCCTTCTTCTAAACTTTAAAACATCTATTCTTCTTAAAAATTAGTTGCTTTTTTAGGAGCATACAAAGTACTTAATGTTTCCTTGGCAGTAGAATATAATGGAATTTAACAACTATGTAAAAACGTTAACCTTTGCCTAAGAAACAGTATGTGCCTATGCTTCTACCACCCAGCACCCCTAGGGAGAGACACACAGGTTCACAGGTACTCATACGCGCACACAAAAAACCTTCTGCGGCTCAAAACCACAGTATCACAGCCTATCTGCAGGCAACTCACAGTAATTGCCGAATCCTGTTAGTGGTAAGAAAAATCCAAATCCTGTTTGTGGTAAGAAAATTCATTCAGCGATGAAAGAATAGTTAGCAGCCCCACTCAGCTGGCTCTAGCTCAACTCCACACGACGCTATCACGGCTGCTTCACGCTTGCCCGGTACCCATGTTTTACAACAAGCCTTCCTGCTCCGAAAGCAGCTGCAGTGTGGCTTTGAAGCAAAGGGGAAAGCAGAGAGACAACATCCAGTGCTGGTGACAGACAGCAACTTTACCTCTTCGCTCTTCGCAAAGACTGAAGCCGCTCTCCAGGACCATGAAGAGCTAGGTAGGAGTCACCTATTTTCAAAGACTTGTTTGTAGACTATGACATGACTTTATTGTCTTTTCCTATATTCAGAATCTGAAGCGCTTTGCCCCCGTGACCACATATGAATCCACTCCAGGGACATTGAAGGTCGCTCTGTGGCTACTAACACATCCTCTGCCATCACAGAAGCCGAGGCCCCTCTGTCTTGCCCTATGGTCACCCGGTAGTCCCCGGTAGTCCCCGGGAGTCCCGTAGTCCCCACGGCCACCATTTGGACAAATTGGGGTTTCAAATGCGTCAGCATTCAGCCTTTCTTCAGCACAGATTGGTCTCCCTTCTCTATTATCATTACAAGAAATATTGCCAAAGAATGACTTCATTTTGTCCTAAGAGTAGTTGGGTCTGAGCAGATCTTCAGCAGTTCCTTCTCTGTTTTTAAGTATGAACTTCTGAGTTTCCTGTGTCTTCACCACTTACAAGTTTCTCTTGTTTCTCAAGCTTCTCTTCTTATGAAACTCTGTGACTGTCAATTTCCCCCTTGTTAAATTGTGCGTTTGCACCTTCAAAAGTCAAAGTCTTTGTCAAACTTCACTGAACCATCTTGATAGATACCAAGTCTTCCTCTGTCACCTTGATGATCCCTGTGCTCTCTCCTCAGAGTAGAAGGAAGATGTGAAACTACTCACCTCTTGCAGTAATTTTTGAGTTGCTCCTTCTCTGTCCTTGGGATTTTGTATATTTCAGGTTTCTCTCTCTTCCACTTGCTCTCCCCCTCCTTAACTGGGGCCTTCTTCCCCTCCCCCTTCCTAGGGACTCATTCTGTAGGTCAGGTGGAGCATCCTGGCTGTCACCTGATAGAGAGTGTGAGCTACACATTCCCAGTTCTCTCCTTAAATCACTGCTCTTGGCCATTTGGCTCAGGCAGTCAAAAGATACCCACAGGCATCCACCCGCCTGCCTTGTGGCTCTGGGTGGGCAGGTGCCATTACGAGGAGCAAGTATATGGTGGAGAAATGGGAGAGAAAGAGGCAGAATAGTTTGCACGCTGTGGTATGTAGCACAAATTCTAATTGGTATTAATAGAAAAAACAAGAGCCAGATATTAAGTGGAGGAGGGGAAGCCGGAAAATCAGAGAAGCAAAGTGGTCAGTCACTAGTGAGTTCTTACCTCTACGAATACTCAGACCAAAGGGGCCACCCTGTCATCATACTGCCTTCGTCTGTACGAATCCTCAGACTGCATCCTCAGACTGCAATGAGCTCCTGTCTCCTTCTGCCTTTTATTCTTCTCTCCACCCAGCCATATCACTCCTGTCTCCACCTCCTTAGTGCTGGGATTAGAGGTGAGGGATCCCAAGTGCTGGGATCACCTTTGCGTGAGCTGTTTGTCTTTTAGACAGATTCAATTTTGTGTAGCCCAGGGTGGCCTTGAACTAACAAGGATCCATCTGCCTCTGTCTCCTGAGTGCTGGGATTAAAGGTATGTGGCACCAGTGCCTGGATTCTATGGGTGACTAGTGTGGCAAGCTCTGCACTCTGATCTTCAGGCAGGCTTCATTTGTTAGCTCATAAACAAGATATCACCACAGGGGAAGACAGAACTCAAGAAGCAAAGATGGCGAGGAAAGGGCTGATATCGGTGGTCTGCTTGCCACCGGGGCCCAGGCTGTCATCCATGTCTGAGTCTGTGTAACTCTACTACAGACTAGGTCTGTGTTGACGTCTGTGACTCCTGATACCATTGAAGGCCAGGAGTCTGGGCCACCACCTGGGACCATGTTGGTGTCCAAGGACCACACTGCACAGGGTCCATGCAGATCTGTGTGGCCTGCCCTGCTACCTGACATCTAAGCCCAGGCTGCTACTGAGGACCATGTCTGGGTCCACAGCCCAGGTCTGTGTTGATGTTGTGGTTCATAGTAAGACCAAAGGCCACAAGGATGCCCAGAGTCTAGGCAGTAACCTGTGACCCTGTTGGTGTCTGAGGGCCATACTGTACCAGGGCCCATGCCAATCTGAGTGGCCAGTGCTGCCTCAAGTGGCCACGTGTCATCCAGGCCCAGACCCAGTGTCTGGGTCTGTAGCTCTACCACAGCAGGGTCAGAGCTGATGTCCAAAGCTTCTGTTACCACCAAGGGCTGTGTGGATGACTGAGATCTGGATAGCCGCCTGAGACTGTGTTAGCATCAGGTGTCCTTACCGCCATCAGGGCCATACGGATCTAGATGGCCTATGTTGACTCTGAGCTGCTACTGTTGGTGCCCTTGTATTTGAGACACAGATGTTCAGAATTGTGACTTCATCTTGATGGATTTTTCCTTTGATGTCCTTCTCCATCTTTTTAAATTAATTTTAGTTTGAAGTCTATTTTGTTAGATATTAGGATAGCTACAATGGCTTGCTTCATTTGATTAGATCTTTTTCCAATCCTTTACTTTGAGGTAATGTCTGTCTTTGAAGTGTGTTTCTTGTATGTAGCAGAAGGATGGATCCTGCTTTTTTTATCCATTCTGTTAACCTGTGTCTTTTTATTGGCAAATTGAGTCAATTGGTGTTAAGAGATGTTAATAAGTGGGTAGTGGTGGCGCATGCCTTTAATCCCAGCACTTGAGAGGTAGAGGCAGGCAGATCTCAGTAAGTTTCGAGGCCAGCCTGGTGTACAAAGTGAGTTCTAGGACAAGCAAGACTGTTACACAGAGAAACACCTGTCTAGAAGGAAAACAAAGATATGTTATTTACCACTGAGTGTTGTTAATTTCTATTTTTTGTTTTGTTTTGTTTTGGTAATAATGGTTATGATTGTGTGTGTGTTTTCCTTCTTTGGGTCTTTCTGGTGTGAAATTATCTATTGCCTGTGTTTTTGTGGATGTAGTTAACTTCCTTGGGTTGGAGTTTTCCTTCTAGCACTTTCTGTAGGGCTGGATTTATGAATAGGTATTGTTTAAATCTGTCATGTAGTATCTTGTCTTCTCCAATTATGGTGTTTGAAAGTTTTGCTGGATGTAGTAATGTGGGCTGGCATCCATGGGTCCCTTAGTGTTTGCAAAGCATCTGTACTGAGCCTTCTTGCCTTTAGAGTCTCCATTTGGAAGTCAGGTATAATTCTAATAGGTCTGCCTGTATATGTTACTTGGTCTTTTTCCTTTGCAGCTCTTAAAATTGTTTCTTCATTCTGTATGTTTAGTGTTTTGATTATTACGTGGGGAGGGAACTTTTTTGAGGTTAGCCTATTTGTCATTCTGTAGGCTTCTTGTGCCTTCATAGGCATGTCCTTTAGATTGGGAAAGGTTTCTTCTATTGTTTTGTTGATTACATTTTCTGTGCCTTTGAACTGGGTTTCTTCTTCTTCTATTCCCATTACTCTTAGGTTTTAATGGTGTCCCAGATTTCCTGTATGCTTTGTCTTAAGAATTTGTTGGATTTAACCTTTTCTTTGACTGGTGAATCTATTTCCTCATTCAGATCTTCAATGCCAGAGATCCTCTCCTCTGTCTCTTGCGTTCTGTTGGCGATGCCTGCATCTGTGGTTCCAGGTCACTTTCCCAGATATTCCGTTTCCAGAGTTCCCTTGCTTTGTGTTTCTATTTCAGTTTTTAAATCTCGAGCCATTTCCTTCACCTGCCTGAGTGATTTCTCTTGACTTTCTTTAAGGGATTTGTTGATTTCTTTCAATTCTTTGTCTTTTCCTTGATTTCTTTGAGGGAACTTTTCATTTCAGCTTTAAGGGCCTCTACCATCTCCATAAAGTTATTTTTAAGTTGGCTTTCTTGTCTTTCAGCTGCATTGGAATGTTCAGGTCTTACTGTTGTTGGATCATTGGGTTCTGGTGCTGCCATATTGCTCTTTTGGTTGTTGAATGTATTCTTACATTGGTGTTTACTCATTTGCTCTTCCAGCTGGTGTGGGTTGTGCCTGTGCCTATGTATTCTGCTGGCACAGGGAAGATGCTCAGATGCTGGGGTTGGGCGGTGGAGTGAGTGTTGGAGGGACAAAGTCTAGTGGTGGGGGTGGGGCACAGCCTGGAGGCTGGTCTCTCACCTGCTTGCCAGCTGGTAGGGACTGCACCAGAGCAGGGCAGTTCCCGAGAAGCAAATATTTTAAAACTTGCCACTAAATTGTCTCATGATTTTAAAGCACTTACTATAACTTGCAGGATTTTTGTCCTTATCAATTATTAGATATACAACATTGTAGGAAAATGAGTTGGATGTTAGTTTTCTAATTTTAGCTTTTATTGATTTTTTTTGTGGATTTCAAATCATGCACATCAATCCCAATCATGTCCCTGCCCCTTCATTTTTGCCCTATGCCTTTGGAACCTACCTGCAAAGATAAAATAAAATTCATAAGAAAAAAAAAAGGAAAGAAAAATCTTGTGTAGCGTGACACAGTGAGTCACACATTATAGCCTTTAGTCCATTCATCTTTATTTGCAAGTGTTCATTGCAATGAGTCTTTGGTCAGGTTCTAGGCCTCTGGCTTCTGCTACACTAAAAATACTGGGCCCTCACTGGGACTTCTCTTGCTTATTCTGTTGTTTCCCTGAGTTATGGAAACCCTGCAGCTTTGGATCTACATGACCAGCCTCTTTTTTTTTTAATTTTTAAATTTATATGAGAAACAAGGTTGTTTCACATGTCCATCCCAGCTCCCTCTCCTTCCCCTCCTCCCACGCCCTTCCAACAATCCCCCATCCACCCTCCCCCAATCCCCATGCTTTTCCTCAGGGAGGGTGAGGCCCTCCATGGGGGGGATATCCATAGTCTGCCATTTTATCCAGGGCAGGGCCTAGGCCCTCCCCCAAGAGTCCAGGCTGAGAGAGCATCCCTCATTGTGGGATGGGCACCCAACGTCCATTTGTATGCCAGGGATAAATACTGATCTACTACCCAAGGCCCCATAGATTGCCTAGGCCTCCTTATTGACATGGATCAGTCCCATGCTAGATTCCCAGCCATCAGTCTAGGGTTCAAGAGCTCCCCCTTGTTCAGGTCAGCTGTTTCTGTGGGTTAAACCTG